TATACTAACACATATATATGGAATTAAAAAAAAATGGTCTGAAGAACCTAGGTCAGGACAGGAATAAAGACACAGACATAGAAAATGGACTTGAGGACACAGGGTGGGGGAAGGGTAAGCTGGGACAAAGTGAGAGAGTGGCATGGACATATATACACTACCAAATGTAAAGTAGATAGTGGGTAGCAGCCACATAGCACAGGGAGATCAGCTCAGTCCTGTGTGACCTCCTAGAGGGGTGGGATAGGGAGGGTGGGAGGGAGACGCAAGAGGGAGGAGATATGGGGATGTATGTATACGTATAGCTGATTCACTTTCTTTTACAGGAGAAACTAATACATCGTTGTAAAACAATTATACTCCAGTAAAGATGTTAAATAAATAAATAAATAAATCTTCCCCCCAAAAAATGTTGCCCATGGATTTCTGGTGTGAGAAACTGCTCTCCTCAGCCGCATGGCAACTGGGGACTGCATACTGAGTGCCCTGGAAACAGAGATTCTCACAGACCCTGAGCCTGTGCAGCTCCATACCTTTCCATGGATCAAGGAGGCAGCCTTCTATAAGCTCAGATCAGCCATCAAGGTCTCCTTGCTAAGCAGAAGTGTTACCTACAGGATAGAGCTAAGTCTGGGTCCTCTGGTGTAGCCCACCTGCAGGAAAGGGTGGCCTCTTCTGTCCTCAGTCTCTTGCCAGTTGACTAGGTGCCAGAAGAGGTCACTCCTCTCTTGAACCCTTGGCTATTTGGGGAGCCCCTTGGGATTAAATGAGTGAACAGCAATGGGAGTTTGTTCACTTTATGGACAGCATCAAAACTGCACATCATGGGGCTTTCTGGAGATCTGCTGCTTTTCATTCCTTAATCCAGACATCCTTGATAAAGGATGGGATCCAAGCACCTTCAAAACTAACTGAACCTCAGGCAGTCATCTTACCCTGGCCAGTAAGTGGCTCCACTGGTGCGTGTTTACAGACTCTCAGGCCATTGCAATGGTCTAGCCACCTGGTTCCACCAATGGTCTAGTGACCTGGTTCCACCAATGGTAACCACAACAATTACTTATCCAAGGCTTCCATCCTTGGGGAAAATAACTGTGGAAGTCTCTTTCCTCACAGATACCCAAAATATAAATCAGTGTGTCATATTAAAGCCACAATACAGGCCTCACTTTATCCACTTTGGCATTCCAGATGTTGTTAAGGGTGACCATTTCACTTCTAAAATTATCCAATGCTGGGCTCTTGAACAAGGTGTTCAGTGGAACTTTCCCCACCCTTGTCAGTCTCAGGCTACAAGCCTCACAGAACTCCCTTATGGCATACTCAAGCAAGATAAAATTTAATTAAATGAAATGTGACTTTTTTATCATCAAACATCAGGGATGACCTGTAATAAAGAGTCTGATTCCATTTTTGATGTTTGATGGTCAGAAACTTCCAAGGCCCATCCTCCTGCTCCACCTTTGGACTAGCTGATAAGAAAGCCCAGGTGTCCCTCTGGTACTGGCAGGAAGTTCAGACCATGTAAGCCCAGCCCACAGATGGGAATCCTTACCTCAGCCCCCCCCCAATCACAATAAAAGGCAAACCAGTCCTCTTTCCTCTCCGTCTAGCCATTTTTAGATCAGCTTGGGAGCTTGCCCTGTGCCCCCTGGAAGCTCTCATTACATGAGTAATAGACCTTCTCAGGCTTTGTGTGGGGTCATCAATCTTGACATCCAAAGCAAATTTTGGGTGGAATGACCACAACATACTTTCTCCTAAACCTCTGTTAATACCTCAACAGTGGGCTCATCAAAACTAGGCTTTAGAATTATTTGAGTCACCCTGATAGAATTTTGCAATTTCCACTGTAATTTGAGTCTACTGAAAATTGGAAAATTTTGAAATTCTCTACTGCAGAGGGTATTATCAACTGAGAATTCAGCTATCTTTTCTTTTTCTGTTTCACAGTTAACTATTTTTGTATGTACTTTTCATTTGTCAACTCCAGAAAAAATTGGGGGAGAGCCCACACTCATGTAGAGCCACAATTCTTACTTCTTTGCAGCCTGTTTAGCTATGTCGCTGCAGAAAAAACGAAGTTACTATATTAGGCTTCATCATGAAATAAACTAACATGTTTAAAATTGGAGGTATTCAGAGCTGGGTGTCCCAAACATTCCTAAACAGTTCTGAGATTGGAATCTGAATGACTCAGATGCTCAGGACTGAATTTTCTTTCTCTCAGCCTGACACATCACTTAGTTCTGTTCCAAGGATTTCCTTTTTCTAACACTCGTTAAATGCATAGATTTGTTTCTTAGTGCAGAAATTTTTGTGATAAAAAATCGAGATAAAAACCATAAACTAAATAGGTGTGTATTTATATAATTTATATATTATAGTTATATAAATTGCATATTTGTATAATCCTGTACCAGGTTGCCAGATACAATTTTTTTTTTTTTTTTTTTTTGCCAGATACATTTTTAGTGCTTGGGGAAATAATGGTTTCTTAGCATCTGATATGATGGACTTTGCTTTCCAGCTATACTGGAATCTCTTGGGTGCAGCTATAAAGAGTCTGGAGAAAGGATATTCATTCCTTTTGGATTTGTTCAGAGACAATAAACACTATTCTCAAGTTCGAGCATCAAGAACTTGTACCTCTTTTCAAAATTGCAAAAAGTCATGAATTATCTTTAAAATTAACAATTCCCATAAATGTTTTTTCTACCTGAAAATATGAATTCCAGAAAGATATTTTTATATTAATTCTTCTAAATGAATACTGTATTAATTGGCTGCATAGGGAAAGCTATCTTATCAAAAAGTTTTCCACTAATTTGTCACTGAGAAAAAGTATGTATATACATGAAAAAAAAAGGGAATCCAAGCCACGGAGAGAGAAAAATTACAGAAAAAAGCTACACAAAGGCAAAACATTGACAGAAAAGTGTATGCTAAATTATTTTCTTCTTTTGATGCAAAAGACATATTAAATGTCATTATTTGTATGCACGTCTTCTTTCATCCGTGAAACTTGTTGAGCACCGTCCTGTGCCAGGCATTGTGCTAACCCCCGTGGATATCATGTAAGATGGTATCAACTCTATCCTCCAGTTGCTCACAATCAAGTAAGAAAGAAAAGACTATTAAGACACAAGTGTTATAATATGAATTTATATTTGTGCCTTAGCATATAGACTACAGCCTTTAATTCTGATTAGTCAGTGTTTCATGGTTATGGGCTGAGTCCAAAGAAGGTGAGGCTTTAGACTGGGTTAAAGAGTACATCAAACCACATGATCATCTCAACTGATGAAACACCCTTTAATGAAATAAGAACATTCAATAAACTAAGAATAGAAGGGAACTTCCTCAAAATGAAAAAGACCATTTATGGAAAACCCACAACTAACATACTCAATGGTGAAAGTCTGAAAGCTCTTCTCCTAAGATCAGGAACAAGATAAAATGCCCACTTCACCACTTCTATTCATTATAGTACTGGAAGTTAGAGCCAGGGCAATTAGGCAAGAAGAAAAAAACAGTATCCAAATCAAAAGCAAGAAGTAAAATTATCTCTGGTCACAAATGACATAATCTTCTAGCTATAAAATCCTACACAATCCATTTTTTAACACTGTTAGTGCAAATCAATGAATTCAGCAGCAGTTTCAGGATACAAAATCAACAGGCAAAAATCAGTTGTATTTCTATGCACTAGCAATGAACATCCAAAAAGAAACTGGATTGGAAAAAATTCACTTACAATAGCAAACAATGGAGTAAAATACTTAGGAATAAATTCAATAAAAGAGGCACACAACTTTTGTATGCTGAAGACTATGAAACATTTCTTTCAAAATTAAAGAAGACTTAAACAAATTCTAAAAATCTCTTGTGCATGGACTGGAAGACTTAATTGACTAAAGGGTGAATTATGACCCTTAATGGGGAAATTATTCAGCATTTTGATTATGAGAAATGTGAATATATTAAGATGGCAAAGATAAAGCAAGATGTAAGGTGAATTTCAATAAAAAGTTACTGTGAAAATGGTAATGATTTTATTTCCCATTTTATTTAGGAATGACTAAGAGAAAATACACTAAATTTTATGGGGAAAAAAAGAGTATCTTAATACATAAATGAAGGTCTAAAGGCAAAGAGTAATATTGACATGATACAAAGGTTATTTTTTGCTGATACAAAGGCTATTTTTTTTGCTGATTTTTACAAATTTTTGACCGTGATAGCTTGTGTTAGACATATAGAAAAATTACCTCTCCTGCTTTCCCTCCACAGCTAAACTTCAAGAAGTCTATACCTGTATTCCTCATTTCCTTAGCTTACATTTATTCCTCAATCTACTGTCAGTCAGCCCAACTTTTATGAAGTTGCTGTTGTTAAGTCAAAGAAACCAACACATGACTAAATCATCTGTTAACTCTGTTGCATTGGCATGCTTAGACAACCCATCCTTCTTGAAATGTTCTCTTTCTTTGGTCTCTCTGACACGACTCTTTCCTGGTTTCCTTTATCCTTCTATGATGACTTCTTCTCAACTTCCTTTGCTGTCTTATTCTCCTCTACCCAGCCATTAATTGGTGGGTAGAAGTTCTCAGGAGTTGGTCATAGCCCTTCTTCTCCTGTCATTCTCCTTCCTTCTAGAAGAGCTCACCACATCTATGACATATATGCCAATGATCCCCACCCCCTCAAGACCTTTTCTACAGATCGCAAGCACAAATAACCAAATGTTTCTCAACCTCTCAGTATGAATGTCTCAAATATTCCTCAAACTAACCATGTCCAAATAATCACCCTCTTAATCAAACATGCTCCTATCTTAATGAATTATCATTCATCCAAATGCACAAGTCAGAAACTAAGTAACATTCTTTTTTTTTTTTTTTTTTGAGGTACGCGGGCCTCCCACTGTTGTGGCCTCTCCCATTGCGGAGCACAGGCTCCAGACACGCAGGCCCAGTGGCCATGGCTCATGGGCCCAGCCGCTCTGAGACATGTGGGATCTTCCTGGACCAGGGCACGAACCCGTGTCCCCTGCATCGGCAGGCGGACTCTCAACCACTGCGCCACCAGGGAAGCCCATTCTTAACATTTACCTTTTATTAACCCTCCATATCCATTTCTTCACCAAAGAATGTCAATTATTACCTCCTAAGTACTTCTTAGATCTCTATTTCTATCTGTACTGTCAAAACCCTAGTCCAAATTGCCAGCATCTGTCTCCTGCATTGTTATAAAAACTTTGTAACTATTCCAACTATAAAATGTTGCCCTCTAGAATCTGAAAAAATACTGGGTGGAAAGTCTTTAGTCCTCAAATCTGTGAAGGAAGCACAGTAAACTCTTAAGTTTCCAGAGTACCTGTAGAAATACTATCGAACGCAAGTCCGAGTGCCCAGCACACACTGCGGCCAAACAATACCAAAACGTCGGAGTTTGGAGCCGAGAAAGGTTTATTGCAGGGCCATGCAAGGAGACTGGTGGCTCGTGCCTTAAAAACCCTGGACACCTGGAAAGCTTTCAGCAAAGCCCTTTTATAGCCCTTTTATAGGGAGGGGCATGGTTAGTTGTTACAAACTTCTTGGTGTTAGATCCTTTGTTCTTGAGGCCAGGTCACTGTGTTCTTATAAACCTCCATCGAAACAAATGTTATTCTCTGTTCTGACAAGAAAGGGCAAGGTCCCAAGGCTCAACTTTCACCCTCCGAGGTCCAGGCCCTGGCTTACAGGAGGGGGTCCCTGCGCGGGCCAGTTACCCTGCCCAGGAGCTTTCATCCAGCACCCAGTCTGAGTCCTCCCGCCAGCGCCCAGGCCTGGGTGAGGGGGCAGATCTCAGCTGGCAGCGCCCTCAGGGCCAGGTCCCCAGACTCTGCCCAGCCATCATCAATGAGGGAGCCAGGCGGCCAGGACCCAGCCGGCCCGGACCCAAGCCGGCCCTCAGGCTTTTCATTTAACCTGGAGAGAATCCTTTGTATACGATCTACAGGAATACGTGTTGTAGCAAATGCCCATCAGGGGAATCCCCAGCTCACAGCAATTGCCCTTCTTTGAGAAGAGCCCAACCACAGAGGTGGACCTGAACTAATGACCTGCAAAGTCCGTGCAACTTAACCCTGGCCTCTGGCCACCTCCTAGGAGGAGACAACTGATCTAAGCTGCACCAACTTTTGAAACTTGAATGGAGAGACTGAAGCAGGTTGAAGCTGTTACCTCAACGGCAGTGTCCATATACTCCAGTTGCTGAGGCCTCCACGGACTGCGACCCATGAAGACCGCCCGCCGCCATTAGGTTGCAGACGTTGGGATGGGGGAGGGGTTCGCTGCTGCTTCGCTGCTTCAAGGTCTGGGCCTGGCTAGCGGGCGGCTGCGGTGAGGGCTCTGGGGCTCTGCAGGACCCGGCCCTCAGCCTGTCCCAGGCCCTGCAACCGCCTCTCACCTCTCACCACACTCTCTGCCGCGAGCACTACTGCGAGCTGACTGTTGGCTCAGGGTCTCGCGATAACGGTCGTGCTAACGGTCAGGCCAAATGCTCTGCTCCTATTACAGAAATGATGATAATTATTCAAATACACAACAAAACATTTATACACACTACACATTATCATTAATAAACACCATCCCTTGTTTAGTTAAGAGTAAGAGGTTTGAAAATTGGCGGACAAAAAGGCGATGACAAGCACTATTTCCATTCTGCTACATCTCCTGCTTTATATCTGACCTTTCAAAACCAGAGTAACCAATTTGACTTTTCTCCTTCAGTCTTTCCCAGATTATTCTGGGGTCATCGGAAAGCCTGGGAAGGCTCTGATGTATTTCTCCAATAAGGGTAAGAAAGTCTTTCATATGAAGATCTTCATCTATTTTCTCTTGGAGTAGAAGTGACTCCAGTAAAGTCTTCTTCTGTTTCAGGAAGGCAGATTGGGCCAGTTCTGCTCTTTTCCTGTTACAGTTGGGACACCGAGAAGAAATGTGTTGCTTAGCTGTTACCACCTCGTTGGGTGTTGTCCTCATGTTTTTAAAATAGATTCTGTTCAGAAGCTCATCGGGGACAGTACAGTTTAAGGCATCTACCTCTGGAGCCTCTGCATCCGATCCAAGCTGCAGCTTTTTATGTCCGCTGCTATTTTTCCCTTTAGAGGTCGCACTATGATGGATCAGGTTTATCTTAACGGTGCAGAAAGACTGCAGGGCATTCAATTCTTCAAGGGATGCCTGAGTGATTTCTGTTTCAAGTTTAGTGTCTGGTTGGTACTGTCCAGAGTTCATTTCCTTGCCCTTGAGGTTGTTGATCCATTTTCTGCTCAACTTCTTTTCATTATTTTTGAAGTGTGAAAACTCAGATTGGTTGTCTCCATATTGCAAGCGTGGAGTCGGCGTTCCACTCTCGTATTTACTCCCAGAGGCACAGGACCAGGGCTGCAGTCCTCCAGAGGAACTGAATGAACTGGAACTCTGTGCCTCATCAGTAAAGGACTCGAAGGTCTCCTTAGAAAAGTCTGCCATAGTCCCGACGTCTGTCTGGGTCAATTTCCCCTGCTTCTCTGAATCCTCGGGCTTCTAGGCGGATGGCCATCACATTGCATCAGGCTCTGCTCCTCATCTGCTTTGCGGTGGTCAAGATTGCCTCAGGAACTAGTCAGTCCTGAACCCCTGGGGGATGGGTTTTGGAGCTGACCGTTGCGTAAGGAAACGCTTCCGGGCAACGCCTTCCCGCTGCCTTGGCAACCAGGGGCGGTCCTGCGCAGTAGGTCGCTGAAGCGCCTCGCTCCTCCCCTTCCCCGCCCTCCCCAGAACCGACTCTGCCCGCATTGTTCCTGTTGGGTTGTCGGCGCCGCCCTCTCCGTTCGCTCTCCGGAGTCTTCTCTTTAGTGCTATTTTAGTACAAAATCTAATAATCCTCCAGAAAAAGTTGCAAACTCCCCTTCCCTAGGGGTCAAAAAATTGTGCATGTGTGTGAGGGCAACAGGGAAAGGCGGCCTCTGACTAATCTGAGAGTGCACGCCTCGCCTTCAAAAAAAAAAAAAAAAAAAACCCAAACAAAAAACCATCCGGCTGGCCAAAAAACACAAGCAAAACGTATCTGCCAATCAGATAGCCAAGAGATCATCTAATCGTAAACCGCGTCTTAGGATAAAATTCGAAATTCTGAAACCATCCTGTAAGACTCCTGAGTGGCACGGCTCCTACGTATTATTTCTCCAGCCTCATCTTGCACAGCTTTTTGTGCTGTAGCGTTACACTCTGCAGTTTTCCCAGTCACAGTTCCTCAGGTCTTTGTTCAGGCAGTGGCTCTCTGAATGGCACTTCAACACTCCTCTTCCCTCTTCGTAAGGTTAATTACTGCTCCTCTTTCAAATCCCATTTTTTCAGGAAGTACTTCATACCCATCCCTGCCCCCAAACACTTTATAGCACAGCCTTTCTTTCCGGGTTTGCAACTGTGTTTTATGCATATTTGAGAATGCCTTCCACATCGCCCCCAGATTAAAAACCCGGTGAAAGCAGAAATCCTGTCAGTGTTATCCAGCAGTCAGCAGGTACCTGATACATAGAAGGTGCTCGATAAATCTCTGTTGAGTAAATGTGTTGAATGGTTATGGAAACAGAAGTATTACCTTACACAGGTCCGCGCCTGGATCTTGTGGAATAAGTACTACAAGCTCAAGGAACTTCAGTCTTTTCCTCTTCCTGAACCCCCCAAATTAGGCTGCTACTCATAATACATCCTTTTACAACAGACTTTTTAAAAATATGGTAGAGTTTTATTAACTATTCTCAGAAATTATAAAATGTTAACTCTGAAGGTTGACTTTTTCTAGATCTTAATAAATATCTGAGTCTAGCTCTTAGTAAATATCTAAGATAATTTCAAGAGAATGGGTTTCCTTGCTCATTTCCTTCTGTGTGTGTGTGTGGGGGGGTAGTAGCGGTGTTGGGAGGGTGTTATTCGACTCTAGCCCGATATATTTAATGTTATTCCCAAAGTGCTCACTTTGGCAAAGAGTCAAAAGTCTGAAATGTTCGAAAAGCATCTGTCAAATATAAGCCAGCTTCATATTGAAGAGAGTCCAACTTCATTTATTGCACCCAAATCATATTTTATCCTATAATATTAATCTTTAAAAAGAGGTAATAGATACTTTGTGGTTAATTCCAATTAATTTCCAGTTCAAGGTTAAAGATTTTCATTTTTAATTTTTGTTTCAAAAGTATCCATCATTCCCTGAAATATTTACACATTCATATTTACACACAATTCACTATAGCACACATTTTCCCCAGAACATTGAGCAAGGGAGCTGTGCTTTAAAGTATATTCACATCTAGTAATATGCTAAATATCTGGAGTAATCTGTCTTTTAAATTTTTAAAAATATACTGTTATAAATACCTCGATTTTATAAAAATAACTTTATCCTAGAAGCAAGTAAATTTGCTAAATTAACCAATTTCTTTGTAATAACCAGCTGGACCCAGTAAACTCTTCAACATTCTAATATATGTATTATCTAAGGAAGTAAAATAGCCCAACCGTACTATCATTTTCAGAAATGACTCATGAAGACAGAAGTCAGTTTGATTTTAAACACAGAAACTTACTCTTTGTATAAACCTATTCTCTTTACGTTTCAACTCTATCACAGAATAAAGCTTAAAGGTGACACTACTTAAAATCCACACTCTTGTTGTCAGTCTTCTATATGTGAAATATAAATAATATTTTCCTATTCTCTTCCTTGTATATGAGAATTGTCAGTGATATATATGTGAAAAGAAAATCTCAGAACATTCCTTAAGGAGTACTGGCAAAAAATATATATATACATATATATATTGCATATTATTTAGAAATCCTTAAGAGAATTGTGAACAAGTGTGTTCTCTTAAACTAATTTGTTTACTTCAGATGTTTCAAGTGAGAGAAAAAAACAAAACAAAAACCAGGAATATATAAAGGGGAAAAGGGAGTAGGGAATTGCAACTTTCCATCTTATCTAAAATCTTTTTACTATCCCAATGGATACAAGTCACTCCTACTCACTATACTGAAAGCAGATTTTATCAAGCTTTGCAGGAAAAAAAAAAAGTAGTAAGTCATTTTAAACATTTTTTTGTTTTTATCAGGAAAAGAAAGATCGAGGAATTAACAGGAAACATTTATAGCTGTCCCAGAAAATTCATAGAAATATTTCAGTGTTTCAATAACTTTGTTATATAATCGCTTCTTTATTTAGCAAATACCTATGAAGTTCAGAATAGTATTTTGCAAAACTGAAATTATCTAAAACTAAACTTAACTAAAACTAAAAAAAAGTTATAAAAAAGAATTATCCAATCAGCATCCACATGTGCCAAGAACATGCTGCATTTTCATTTTCTGTTATTCATGTTATCTTTTTTACAAGTTCTCACTCATTTTAGTAGCTATGGAAAACCATTAACCTGATAATTAAGCATATGCCAGGTATTCCCATGTGAGTCAGTCTCATTTTGTCAAATCTTCAGTCATATGACTTAATATGACTCTCTAATAGAGCTATTCCTTCCTTCCCTCTCCTCCTTCCCAAGGCAGTGCTTTGTAGAAAGGAATTCTTTATTATCTTTGGGGCAGTTGGTGTAGGGGGCCTCAACTTTGTGCAAATCTTTTTGTTGGTCTCCACGGCATGGTGCAGGTGGTCCCTGGATGTGTGCTGTTTTCCACCAAGGCACAGTTAGTCTGGTTCCTTCCAGGACCCTGACACAATCCTAGGCTACTGGAACTTGTCAAACCCTCTCCCGGCTCTCTTGCCTGTATCTTGACACCCACAGGTACGTTTCTTTCAAAGACCTGCTGAGACGTGATAGAGGAAAAGGGGAATGTGGTCTGGTACACACAGCATAGCCTAGAACCCTTGCCACCTGGTCATCATTCAGGCGACTTCCTGTGGCCAGCCCCTCCTCCAGAAATCTCAAGCATCTTGACATCTCTTAGGGGCTGACTGGAACATTGGGGTCCTTTAGAAACCACATTGTGACTGAAAGTTGCCGGGGTGGATGCAGAAAGCCATAGGAGGGAAAGAGACAAATCAGGCCTAAGCCTGCCATGGCACTATTTTTATTGTCCTGCTGTCACTGTCTCTTCTCTCCATCGTTCTTAATGGGGAGCAGGGCAAAAGCTCTCCTTCCAGCTTTTCCTCAACAATCAAATATGCTTTGCAGCTATAAAGCTTAACCCCAGAGACAGGAGGTCAAAACATATTAGTCTTCCTATCGGATTCCCTCTCTCTCTCTCTCTCATTTCTCTTTCCTTGGAGGGAGAAAGGCAAACTTTCAGCTTCTTCCTGCCAGGCAAGCACTTCTCCTCTGAGGGATCACAGTGGCCTCCTTGCCAAGGTGGCATTTGGTCTGTACCCTTTCCCAAAGCCGTTGTGGTGGACAGAATACCAAGAGGGAATCTAGTTTATGAATAAGGGAAATTAACTTGACAGATCCTTTAAAAATAGCCTGCCCTCTACATAAACTACACAGCACTGTGCTTGGTTCTGTGAACAAGCAAAATGAAAAATTATTTCCTCTCCTAAGGGTCTAAGTTGAATGTATCAGAAATCTCACTGTGAGACACAATTTTTGTGGAGTAAGGAATCCTACATCATTCATGATAAAAAACAATTTCCATTTACTGTGCAGTGGCTGTTCTTCATATTTGAAAAATGTTATACCAGACAAATATCTCAGTCTTCACATTCTTTTTTTCCTGTGTCTTCAGTTTTGTTATATTTCTGAAATTGATGAATTGCCTTATGAAGAGCTGTGTTTTACTTTAATAGCTATTGTTTTGCAAAGACAATGTTTAACGTTAAGGCTTTTGAGATATCTATCCCCCTCCTCAGTTTTTTACCCCCTCCCTCCTGCAGTATTTAAAAATACAAGATACGATATTATTTTGTCCGTAATACCTCAGTTTATATCTCTAGCTGGTAAGGCCTTTTTAAAAATGTAACCACATTATTATGATTACCACATCTAAAACACAATAATAATTCCTTAATATCACCTAATAATTATTCTGTATTCAGATCTTTCTGGTTGTCTCGAAAATCCGTTTTGCGAGTTGCAGTGTTTGAATCAGAATCCAAACAAGGTCCATTCACTGCATTTGGCAGATACTGTTCTCGTGTCTCTTACACAAGTTAAAAAACTAAAAAGAAAAAAATGGAGCAGGCAGAACTTTCTTCTCTGTTTATAGTTATATTCCCTATAGAACATCATTATTTTAAAGTTTTTGATTTATCCTTACAAGTTTCTTTTTGAAAATATAAATCAATGTATATCTGAATCCCCTTTCTTACCAAAAAAATTATATATGTATATCTATATGTTCAGCATATTCTACACGTTGCTTCACATCCTTTTTGTTTCTTCTCTTAAAAATATATTCTGGATATCACTTCATATCAACCTATAGACATATCTCTATGACTACATGGTATTCCATTGTGAGAATGTTTTTTCCCACAGTTGTTCCCACATTTTGATGGACTTTTCGTGATTATAAGAAATCAAATTTTTCTTCGTATTTTTGGAGGTGTATCTCAAACAAGATTCCTAGGAGCGAGATTACTGGATCAAAGGATAAAGGTGTATGTAGCTTTTCCAAGTATTTCCAAATTCCTCCCTATAGGGGGTGTACATTTTGCATTCCCGCCAGCAAACGCGTGAGAGG